TAGCCCAGGGAACATACAAGACATCACAAGGGAAATTAGAAAACACTTTGAAATGAAGAAAGCACATACCAAAGCCCCCGGAACTTATGGCACGTGGCCAAAGAGGCACTTGGGAGCTAAAGCTGCAAACACCTATGTTCAAATGGAAGCAAGACCTCAAATGAACAGCCTCATCTTGAACAGGGACAAGCGAGAAAAAGAGTAAGGCGAATCCAAGCATTCTGGTAACAAATTTTCAGCGAGAAAAGAAAAACTGCACTAATCCATGTATGCGGGGATCAGAAGACACGTACTGGTTGGGAATCCTCACAACATGGGGGAGGGCGCATCTTTCTTACACACTCAGTAAGAAGAGCTACATCGACCGACCACTTCATTTGGCCCAGGCTTTTTACAAACAGGTCACATCATGGGGAAACTCACACCAATGCTTTTGCCTTGTACTATTAGGAGGCCCATTTTACAGATGGAGAAATGGAGGCATAGGGAGTCTCCATAATTTGATCAGCTTATCACTAGAAGGACTCTTATTGAAGCTGAGCTTCATATGCGTGCAAAGCCCCATGCCCGCACTGGCCTGACCTGTCTCCCCAACAGTCAAGGGGGATTCAGCTGTCCTCAACGGGGTCCTACTACCTGATGCCCCAGGCCACATAATGGAGAAAACACAGGGAAGCCAGGCATTAGTGCCCATGAGAACCTGACACACTGGATTCTGCCCACGTGGCCTCCCCAGCCCCATCAGGTCACCATCTCTCGTGAAATGGACACGAGGGCCAGGGAGGAGGGTGAGGGTCTAGGACTGAGGGCGTGAGGATGGAGAAGGGTCCTGGACGTGGGGGTCCGAGGCACGGCCCTCTGAAGGCGGCTCCTATGCTCAGGTTTGGGCCCTGCTCTCTCCTTGCACTGCCCACTCTGCTCCCTTCTGTCCCAGCGGCGTGGTGGTCCCACATTCTCCTGCAGGCTCACTTCGCCGGGCACACTGGCTGTCAGGCAGGCGGCAAGCCTGCATTCAAAGCACGGGGACCGCCGGGCTGGTGGACTCTCACAGTGTCCTCACGGGCGTGAGTGCCTGTGCCCTGCAGGGCCCTGTGGATGCACCTCCTTCCGGAGGCTCGCTCACACGTGGCTTTACACCCTGCTACTGTCTTGTGAATGTCACTTGGCTTCACGCCCTGCATCCCACCACCAACCCAGCCCTGTCCCTGTGCCCAGCCCCAGCTCAGGGACCACGGCCAGGCACAGGCCCGGGCCCCCGTACTTGCTCACAAAGGCCCTTAAAGCAGCAGCCGGCGACATTTGCCACAGAGGAGGGTAGGCGAGAGCCAGGCAGGAGGTCAGCCCTTTGCCAAGGAGGCTGGAGCTCAGAGCAGACTTTAGCTGGGGCTGGGGAATGGAGGCTTCTCGGGAAACAGGGCCGCGGCTGAGACAACTCACACCAGCCCCTCAGTGGGCAGGCTCAGGGCACGTAGAGAATGTCAGAGCTTCCCGCTGATGGGCAGCAGCTCCCGTGTGCCCAGTCCCGCCCTGGTCAGGACTGGCTGTGTGCCGGGGTGGTGTGTGCTCGTCCAGAGTCTACTGGGGAGGGTGCTGCTGCCCCCCCCTGAATAGTGCCTCCCCGAATGTCCCTGGGGCGCTCTTGGCGTGTCCCGGCCGCTGCTGCGCTGCCTGCCACGGCCGTCCCTGGGCTAGCACTGTCCCCCATCAGTCAGTTCACTGCACGAACGGGCACTAGGAATCCCTGCTTACCCCCGGGAGTGCCCCTCGGGGCTCTGGTCCTGGAGCACCCGTTGTCCCAAGAGCACCCATTTCCTGCTGGGGTCCAGGGCTGCAGCTCACCGGCAGAGGCATCTGCTCCCACCTGCCTCCCCTGGCCAGCCCAGGGCAGGTCAGATGGGATCTGGTGGGTGCTGTTCCTTCCACCTCTCAGGCTGACTCTCTTCACAGCCTGCATCACCGGGACCCCAAAGCCCTCTCCTGCCTGGCTCCTTTCCAAACCCTCATGCGGGTCTGCGGGTGGCTGGGGCCTGGGGGAGCGTCCTGGGGACCACCCCTGCCATCTGCTACAGCCTGTCCCTCTGCTCAAACACCCTGATCGGGGACACCAGAGTCCTAGCCGGCTCTGCGGGTGGCTGACAGGACACCCCTGTGCCGCTCGAACTCAGGCTCAAAAACCAAAACCTCACGGTCACATTCAGAAAGCCATCAGTGTACTCAAACATTTGGGCATTACGTAGGGAATGATTTCAAAGTAAGTCGGAAGCAGAGATTCGCCCCACATCCACGCGGCAATGATTACCATTTACCAACCACGAGGAGACTCGCCGAGGGGCTACGTCACGTCCTGCCAGCTCCACCCGAACCATGATATTGGTGGGGGGGATGCTTCTCTGGGACTGTCAGATAAACATACATGCACGAGGTCATCAGGACCGGGGCCTAAGCGGCTCTTAGTCGGGGGCCAGGCAGGGCAAAAGCCAGGCTGTGCAGACCGAGGCCAGGTTCCGGAGAGAGTGGGCGCTGTGGGCAGCAGGGTCACCCCTGAGGGGGACTCGGGGCTGGGCCCCACGAGCACGCCCCCGACCCCAACAGGGCCGTTCGGCAGCTGGCGGCTGCCCTCCTGACAGAGACTCAGCACAGCCCCGCGGGGACGGATGGGTGCAGCTCAGGGACCTAAGGGTGCGGGTTGCTTGAGGGAATGCCCTCCGCCAGCTCCCTGTGGGGCAGCCTCTCTCTGGAACACCTCCAACCCTGCCCAGGGCCTTAAAGGCACAGAGCCTGGCATCTCACATCTAAGGGTCAAAGGCGCAGCGCTTAAGACCCTGGGGGAGGAAACACAGTGGTCTGTGTCTGTGTTGTCATGGCTTGAGGACTAACCCCCGACCGCGGTGTGCCTTCGATACAGACGGCCGTGACAAAAATGCTTCTGTTCCGAATCCGGTGGCAAAAGGTCATCACATGACCCCTCCTGAGCGAAGAGGACTCCGGCAGTGCTGTGTCCCCACTTGTGCGGGGAGGAGAGAAAGACAAGATGGGGACGAGCACCTGACGGCTCTCCAATGCCACACTGCCTAGCAGAGGCTCAACAAAAGCGGCGCTTACCATTTGTGATGACAAAATCCCCTTCTTTTCCGGCAGGAGTGTCTGAGCACGTTACATTGGCCCTGAAATTCTCCACCTTTTCCAAGTGCCCACCTGCTATACGGCAGGTGCTTCAGATCCAGGATCCCACGTAATGTTCACGTTGTCGTACGGCGCTCAGCAGGGAGGGCTGCCTCTTTAGACCCCGGCGCCGTCTGCACCTCCCACTGCAGTGACCTCACGATGCCAGTAGTCCCAGAAGTTGCTCCTTCCTTTCGATGCCAGGTCACAGCCCAAACCTGTGGGTCGCTGATGCCGCCATATTTGCGAACCTGCCTGAACGCGGGGACACGGGCGGACATCGTTTCTTAGTGGCTAGGACTTACTTCTACTATTATTCTGATCCCAGACTCTGTCCTCCTCTCCTCTGGAAACTGCTTTCTTTTCATGACATCTCAGAATTTGCAGCTCCGTAGGAAACGGAATAGAAAACCAGCCAAAATTGCTGCTCTGTGTGTTTCACTCCTGGAGGATGTATTATTCAATTTGGATGTGTGTGTGTGTGTGTGTGTCTGTCGGCACGGAGGGAAGGGTGGTGTTTTCCCCAGCTGGGTGCAGCTCACGCAAAGCTCCCGGGATTCCAGTCACACAGCGACTCCTTTCCACTTTGGCGGCCTCTCTTCTTTCAAACCACCCATTTTCATTCATTTCATCCCACTGAAATCTAGACCTTGCTCACAAGTGGCCAAAGTAAACTCCAGGTGACTAACATGGTCGTTTCCACATAGTTGGTAATTGGCTCTCCCAGGGCAGGGAGACGAGGGCCAGCCCCGGGAATACCGAGCAGGGCTTCAAAGAGCAAGACCCTCATTTCGCTGGAAATCCTTGCAGATGGCGGGTATGAAACACCTACCTCTTCACTGTGGTCCACAGCAATGCGACAAGAGCCACGACCCCTTCCTTCCTGCCCCAGGGTGAGATTTCTCTCGGGTTCGTCCGTGATCCAGAAGGACACCTCACAGCAATGTCGCATTTCAGACTTTGCCCCCAAACCCAAGTCACACCGCCTGCAGGTCTGGCTGCTGCCACCACCCAGCTTCATCACCATCACCTCCCCACAGAAGGAAGCCCCGCTTCCCAAAGGCCCGAAGTGCCCTGGCTCGGGGCACTTGACACTCCAGGGCTCGCTCCTGGAGCCCCACCGCCTCGTCCCATGTTGTCTTGTTCTGTGGGACTTAGGGGACGTCTCACCACCTTCCTCACGTGACAGCGGCTCCTAGACCATCACTCTACGCGTGGGTGTGCCCTGCTTTTCCTAGCGTTCCCGCTACTAACACGGGCCCTTCCAGAGAGCAGAGGCTCCGTGGAGGTCTGCGGAATAAACAAGCCAGTGGGCAGGGGGCTTATTGACGTAGATTCATCGTCTCCTAAATACCCGTGCAAATCCAACTGAACAGAGACCGTTTTCTTTACAGAATGACAGACAAGACAGGGAAGAAGCAAGAATTGGAACTACAATGACTTTTATTTTTCTAGTTCTTCCCCCACATCTATGTCACTGCTAAGTGCTTCCACATTTCCAGAGCAGCTCTGATTCCAATTCCGTTATCTTGGACACGGTCACAAAATGAACTGGGAGATTTCCCAACCTCTCTTACAGAACAGCAAAACTCTTGTTCGTGAACTGAATTAGTGCGAATACACGTGGGATCAAAGAGATACACAAAGTTAGACACTGAAGCTTGTTGAAGCTTGTTTAGTCTTCTATTCAAAGAACCAACATTTGAAAAATTCCTAAAGAAAACAGACATGAACTCCATGTCAACATACACAACAGGAACCCAAAGACGCTGCACACAGGCTTCCCCCAACTCGCCCGGCTCTCACTGCTGAGACGGCGGACCGCTCACTCTTCAAACTCAGAGTGAAGGACCAGCCTCCCTTCCCGCCCCACGGGAGAAGCTGCTGGGCGCGGGCCTGGCTGCTGCTCCCTCCTCCTCGTCGCTCACACCCTCTGCAGACAGCGATGGGAAGGACCTGGGATCCATGCTACAAACACTGAGCAGATGCTGCAGGACCTGCCACTTGCTGGTCTCCGCGTAGGCCCGGGGACCCCACAGGAACTCGTAGCGGGCAGGGTCGCTGTGGGGCACCTGCCGGTACTGCAGGTAGCCCGTTTGCACCCACACTTTGGTGAGCAGCTCCCTCCCGGCAGACATCCCCAGGTTGCCAAGCACTCCCCACACCTCCTCCGCAGGGATGCGGTCACCGAACAGGGTGATCATGGTCAGGACCAGCACCAGGAGGCCGGCCTCGGGCCTGTGCTGCCCGTTGCTCAGCATTGCATCCCAGGTGAGGCCCAAGGTGGGGACCAGGACGTAGGTGCGCTCGCGGGGCCCCACCTCCTTCACATCCAAGCCAAACACCAGCAGCATGCACTCGCAAACGAGGCTGAAGACCACGGGGAAGTGGTCCCCATGCTCCTGGAAGACCGTACTCAGCATCTCCGCCTCGGAGGTCGGCTGCCCGGTGCGATACTTGACCAGCAGGAACGCCACCAGGTCAGCCATCAGCACAACAAGTGCCTCCTGGGGCAAACACTCCGCAGAGGCAGAGGGGGCGCCAGGGGAGACGGAAGATGAGGGGGATGCGGCCTCCTCCCCTGCAGCCCCCAGCAGCGGCGCCTCCACCGGACCCTGGGCCGGGACTGGGGCCTGAAGGTCGGCCTCAGGCTGGCGGAGCTCACTCATCTCGACCAGGGGCCTGAAGACTGCGGTCGGGCCGCCGACGGGAGTGTGGGCACGGGTGACAGGCGGGGACCTCGTACCTGGGGGAGAGACGGGGTGTGAGCGGCCTCGGAGGAGAAAGGCACCCTGGGCAGCTCTGACAAAGGCCACTTACAGGTCTCGTCTTGAGGGCTGCCCTCGGGCCTCACCGCGGCCCTCCTCCTGGGCGGCCTGTCCCCTGCCCACCTGAAGAACGAAGTGAGGGGGCTCCTCAGGGTGCAGCCAGCAGGGCCCCAGGTTCTGGGGCTGTCAGGGCGGTGGGGTGACTTGGGTGTTGTGGGGTCCCCTCTGTTCTGGGAGGGGGAGCCCCTGGGTACACACTCAGGGCACGCACCTCCCCTTGACTCCTGGCGCTGCCAGGGCCTCCTCTGCTCTGTGCCCTGAGGACACGGTCCTCAGACCTGGGCCTTCGCCTCCCGGTTCCTGGAGCCCCTGTAAGAGGGATGGAGGGCGCACCTCTTGTGTAGACTGTGGCACAGCTCTACGCCTCGGTGCTGGTAGGAGGATTGGGCCGGACTCTGTGAGGTCCCCCCAGTTCTGAGTTCTGGGGTGGGTGGTCCCCTCCGGGCTCCCTCGTCGTGCTCACTGTTCCCCTTAAGGGCCTGGACCCTCCCCTTTGCAGGCTGGAGGAGAAACTCAGAACAGGACCCCGAATCTGAACAGAAAGCAGTGAAGGGTCCCCACAGGTGGCCGCACCTGCCCAGGGCCTCCTAGGGTCCTAGGATGGGGAGATGCTGGGTCCTCACCTCCTCCTCACATCCAGCCTGGCCTCCCAGCGCTGACCACAGGGGCAGGATTCTGTTGAGGCCCCTGTTCCAGGGCTGGGGGTCTCCTCAGTCCTCCCTCGGGGTCCTGGGAGTCCACCCTCTGCGGACCTGAAGCCTCACCCCTCACACCAAACACGTGAGCTCCTGAGGACCCTGACCCAGAGGTCAGGAAACATCTCATCTGCTGACCGTGCTCGGGCGCCTCCAAGGCCCCCGTGGAAGGCAAAGGACCCCTCCCTGTGTTGGGGTCTAATGTCCTCAATCCTTCCTTCCTTGCGTGCAGGCTGGACCCTGGGCAGGACCTGGGATTTTCCCGTCTACTAGTGTGAGTCCCTGCTCCTTATACCAGGTCTCCAGTCTCTCAGAGACCTGGACTTCAGGATCTCAGGACAGGCCTGCTGTGCTCATTCTGTACCGGGGCCTCCCAAGGCCACCTGCAAGGGCGGTGATCTGGTCGGTCCCATTTGTCCTCCCTCAGGGTCCCCACAGTCCTGCCTAAGGGCCCTAAACTTGGTCCACCAGGGAGCTGACATTTTACCCTCTGCGCTCAGGAGACCCCGCCCCTTATCCCAGGTCCCCAGCCTCTCTGAGACCTGGATGTCAGGAAGTGCTGCACGTGCTCATCCACCCTATGGCCTCCCAGGGCCAACTCTGTTCTGGGGTCCCCGCTCCCCTCAGTCCTCCCTCAGGGCGCTCACATTGACTCAGCGCTGGACCTGGGATTCTCTCCCCTGCTCTCCCGACACCCCATCCGTTATACAGCCTCCCCAGCCTCTGAGACCCCGCCCAGTACTCCCGAACCCCAGCGTCTCTGAGACCCGGATGTCAGGAAGTGCTGCAAGTGCTCATCCCGCCCTATGGCCTCCCAGGGCCAACTCTGTTCTGGGGTCCAGGCTCCCCTCAGTCCTCTTTCAGGGCCCTCACCTTGACTCCACGCAGGACCTGGGACTCTCTCCCGGGCTCACCAGACACCCCGACCCTTATACAGCCTGCCCAGTCTCTCTGAGACCCCGCCCCGTGCTCCCTCTCCCCAGTTTCTTTGAGACCCGGATGTCAGGAAGTGCTGCACGTGCTCATCCCGCCATATAGCCTGCCAGGGCCAACTGTGTTCTGGGATCCAGGCTCACTCAGGGCCCTCACCTTGACTCCAGGCAGGACCTGGGACTCTCTCCCCCGTGCTCACCACACACCCCAACCTTTACACCGCCTGCCAAACCTGTCTGAGACCCCGCCCCGTGCTCCCTCTCCCCACCTTCTTTGAGACCCGGATGTCAGGAAGTGCTGCACGTGCTCATTCCGGCCTATGGCCTCCCAGGGCCAACTCTTTTCTGGGGTCCAGGCTCCCCTCAGTCCTCCCTCAGGGCCCTCACCCTGACTCCCTGCAGGAACTGGGATTCTCTCCCGTGCCCACCAGACACCCCTCCCTTTACACCCCCTCCCTAGTCTCTCTGAGACCCGGCCCAGTACTCCCCATCCCCAGCGCCTCTGAGACCCGGATGTCAGGAAGTGCTGCACGTGCTCATCCCGCCCTATGGCCTCCCAGGGCCACCTCTGTTCTGGGGTCCAGGCTCCCCTCAGTCCTCTTTCAGGGCCCTCACCTTGACTCCACGCAGGACCTGGGACTCTCTCCCGTGCTCACCAGACACCCCATCCGTTATACAGCCTCCCCAGCCTCTCTGAGACCCCGCCCCATGCTCCCCCATACAGCCTGCCCAGTCTCTCTGAGACCCCGCCCCGTGCTCCCTCTCCCCAGTTTCTTTGAGACCCGGATGTCAGGAAGTGCTGCACGTGCTCATCCCGCCATATAGCCTGCCAGGGCCAACTGTGTTCTGGGATCCAGGCTCACTCAGGGCCCTCACCTTGACTCCAGGCAGGACCTGGGACTCTCTCCCCCGTGCTCACCACACACCCCAACCTTTACACCGCCTGCCAAACCTGTCTGAGACCCCGCCCCGTGCTCCCTCTCCCCACCTTCTTTGAGACCCGGATGTCAGGAAGTGCTGCACGTGCTCATTCCGGCCTATGGCCTCCCAGGGCCAACTCTTTTCTGGGGTCCAGGCTCCCCTCAGTCCTCCCTCAGGGCCCTCACCCTGACTCCCTGCAGGAACTGGGATTCTCTCCCGTGCCCACCAGACACCCCTCCCTTTACACCCCCTCCCTAGTCTCTCTGAGACCCGGCCCAGTACTCCCCATCCCCAGCGCCTCTGAGACCCGGATGTCAGGAAGTGCTGCACGTGCTCATCCCGCCCTATGGCCTCCCAGGGCCAACTCTGTTCTGGGGTCCAGGCTCCCCTCAGTCCTCTTTCAGGGCCCTCACCTTGACTCCACGCAGGACCTGGGACTCTCTCCCGTGCTCACCAGACACCCCATCCGTTATACAGCCTCCCCAGCCTCTCTGAGACCCCGCCCCATGCTCCCCCAGAGACTGTGAAACCCGGATGTCAGGAAACGCTGCACGTGCTCAGCCCGCCGTATGGCCTCCCAGGGCCAACTCTGTTCTGGAGTCCAGGCTCCACTCAGTCCTCCCTCAGGGCGCTCACTTTGACTCCCTGCAGGACATGGGATTCTCTCCCGTGCCCACCAGACACCCCGACCCTAATATGGCCTCCAGACCCTGACCCCGCCCCATGCTCCCCCTCCCGAGCGTCTCTGAGACCCGGATATCAGGAAGTGCTGCAGGTGCTCAGCCCGCCCTAGGCCTCCCAGGGCCAACTCTGTTCTCGGGTCCCGGCTCCCCTCCGTCTTCCCTCAGGGCCCTCACCTTGACTCAACGCTGGCCGTGGGATTCTCTCCCGTGCTCACCAGACACCCCAACCGTTATACCGCCTGCCCAGCCTGTCTTGAGACCCCGCCCCGTGCTCCCCCTCCCCAGCGTCTCTGGACCCGGACGACAGGAAGTACTGCACGTGTTCAATCCGCCCTATGGCCTCCCAGGGCCAACTCTGTTCTGGAGTGCTGGCTCCCCTCAATCCTCCCTCAGTGCCCTCACCTTGACTTCCTGCAGGACACGGGATTCTCTCCTGTGCCCACCAGACACCCCGACCCTTATACCGCCTACGCAGCCTGAGACCCGGCCCCGTGCTCCCCCTCTGCAACAACTCTGAGAGCCGGATGTCAGGAATTGCTGCACGTGCTCATCCCGCCATATAGCCTGCCAGGGCCAACTGTGTTCTGGGATCCAGGCTCCCTCAGGGCCCTCACCTTGACTCCACGCAGGACCTGGGACTCTCTCCCGTGCTCACCACACACCCCAACCGTTACACCGCCTGCCAAACCTGTCTGAGACCCCGCCCCATGCTCCCCCTCCCCAGCGACTCTGAGACCCGGATGTCAGGAAGTGCTGCACATGCTCATCCCGCCCTATGGCCTCCCTGGGCCAAACCTGTTCTGGGGTCCAGGCTCCCCTCAGTCCTCCCTCAGGGCCGTCACCTTGACTCAGCGCTGGACCTGGGATTCTCTCCCGTGCTCACCAGACACCCCGACCCTTATACAGCCTCCCCAGCCTGAGATAGCGCCCCGTGCTCCCCCTCCCCAGCGTCACTGAGACCCGGATGTCAGGAAGTGCTGCACGTGCTCATCCCGCCCTATGGCCTCCCAGGGCCAACTCTGTTTTGGGGTCCAGGCTCCCCTCAGCCCTCCCTCAGGGCCCTCACCTTGACTCAACGGAGGAAGTGGGACTCTCTCCAGTGCTCACCCGATACCCCAACCGTTATACCGCCTGGCAAGCCTGTCTGAGACCCTGCCCCATGCTCCCCCTCCCCAGTGACTCTGAGACCCGGATGTCAGGAAGTGCTGCACGTGCTCATCCCGCCTTATGGCCTCCCAGGGCCAAACCTGTTCTGGCGTCCAGGCTCCCCTCAGTCCTCCCTCAGGGCCCTCACCGTGACTCCATGCAGGACCTGGGATTCTCTCCCATGCCCACCAGACACCCAGACCCTTATACCCCCTCACCAGCGTCTCTGAAACCCGGATGTCAGGAAGTGCTGCACGTGCTCATCCCGCCCTATCGTGTCCCAGGGCCAACTCTATTCTGGGGCCCAGGCTCCCCTCAGTTCTCACTCAGGGCCCTCACCTTGACTCCACGCAGGATCTGGGATTCTCTCCCGTGCTCACCAGATACCCCGACCCTTATATGGCGTCCCTAGCCTGAGATCCCGCCCCGTGCTCCCCCTCCCCCGCGTCTCTGAGACCCGGATG